CCACCAATACACTACTTGCGGCTCGCCAGATTCTGACACCGCACGTTGTAATCTTACAAACGTACATGCGTTCATATATACCGACAACATTCATACCTAACCAACACGTAAATGTTACATATGCCCACCACCGTCATCATGTTAGGCAGAAGCATCATGCAATTTACATGAAGATTTTGGATTCAACTTTGCCACAAAATAGTTCCATCCCAAGCATATCGGCTTAGCCTATTCACTTTTGCACTCATGCCAAACCTAAAAATGGGATACCGAATTGTGTAAATATTCTTATTTTGCTATTATGTCCATTTGCTTTTACAGCGTACCTCAAGTTGAAAAAGCTTGTCAATGCCACCAACCCGAGGCTGTCATTAAGCATCAACATTAACCATCGATGACCTGCAAGTAGTAGATGAGCACAATGTTTTGTTTTGCATGTGTTATGTGTTATTGAAACCAATTAAGTGTTCAATGGTTCTTTTACCACGTGTTTTGGTTTAAATCTGCATGTGAAAAGCTGGAGAGGTTCAGCTGTGTCTCAATGCCACCCAACTACATCATGCACTTTAATAAGCTCTCACCTTGAGAGTCGGGACGAAGAGCTCTTATCAAGGCAACTGTCTACTGACTCACAGAGAGGTAATGCGTGCAGAGTTGTCCATGAACCAATTGTCTTGGTACGGTACACATTAAGTGCACTTTATTAACATACGTTTTATAACATACGTAACATAACATTATTATTAATGAACGTGAAAACGTTTTTAGGACGGATAATGAGACTAACGCTCATGGCGACCTTGACACGAATACGCGGCGAGTGTTCGACGAACAGCTCTGATGTCAGAGCACAACAGCTCTGATGTCGGAGCTCCTTATTTGGCGCGTTTCGAAACTCGGATTCCACACTGTTCCGTTTGCGGTTACAAGGTGTTGTTGCAGCGTGGTTATAGAATGCCCGCGCCGCGGCGCGATGTGACATAGGTCACTGCATGCCAAACCCTTTAGCTACATGTCTTGCTTTCTGGTCGTCTTCCGAGCTTGTCAAGATGTTCTGAGGTGCAAGTGATCGAGCGTCAAAATATTTTATGCAATGCTGTAATTGTGATAACAGATGGGCTGTCGTCCCCGCCAGCCGTACTGGTGTGCACGCAACGCTCCGACACGTTCACTTTCCGGCTGTTGCCAGGTGTTTGAATACTTAAAACGCCTGGATGGTGCTTGCCTTTCAGCTATGTACGCCTCACAACCCGAATTCTCTTCTTGGAGTTGCTGAGATTCGAACCAGGGTCTTCCGGTTGCGAGTCCGGTGGTCTATCAAGTTCAGGAATGGCTCAGTTGGTAGAGCAGTGGACTTGCGCTCAGAAGACCTTGATTTGAATCTCAGCGCTTCAGGTTACGACATGTGCACGATATCAAGGTCAAATCCTTCTAATCCTTTTAAGGACTATAACACGTAACGACTGCCGAGGGTTTAACTGGCCGAAACTTTGTGTACTTATTGACTCACCTGGCGAGGCGATTGTCCGAACAATTATTCCATCAGTGATACTAATACCTTGTCTCCCTTACACAAAACTGTAAAGGCAGTGCTATTTTCAAAATCATAGCAATGAACAGAAGCTGAACTGCGGGTGTGCAGCCTGGTGGGTGGTTTTCGCATTCACTAATAACAGTCCCCTTTCAGAGTTCAGATGGGATCGCCAAACATATTAAGTTCCTGATTGCTTTATTAATAGTTCAATATTGCTGGATCCGAGCTGTAAATTTGGATTACAATTTAGCACAAGGCTTTACATGAATCGTGACTAGTGTTGCCAAAACACGCGTGTAATTGGAGTCATTGCTAGGATCAAATATGGTAGCTGGTTCCAAGGTCTATCACAGATCAAATTTGTTTGGGCTTTTCAATGGCGTTTTTGGGCCTTTCCAGCCCTGGTTGAATGGTAGTATTTACGTCCGCCTGCTATTCGAATAATGGCCCGTGGACATTTCTTGAACATTGTATTGATATTCTGCTTACTTTATGTCTGATGCATATCAGTAATATGTAGCATATTTTGGTTTTAATTTGCAATTATATATAACTTGACTTGTTGAAAAGTGCATTGAGCTACACTCAAATTGAATTTGTGTATTGTGAATAATTTGATGATGATACATGAATTTGCAATTATAAATATCGTTCAGACAGCTACAGTCCACACCTTGAATAGTGCCTTTGTTTTCACAGATAAGGCAGTAGTGATGCCTTATTCCTCGGAAGAAAAAAACCAGGACCGGGAAAAAAGCAGTTAACACGCGCCCGGGTGGGGGTTAAATTGACCCCTCCTAAGGTTTTTTCCAGAATGGTTTCTGAACGGCGCGGCGTAGCCGCGCCAAATTTTGCATACCTGTTGACTATTGAATAGCAGATCGTGTGGCGTACCAAATTTAAATATACCTTGTAAGGTCGCTGACCTATGGCAGGTCAAAGGCAGGCCATGGTTTCAGCGAAGGCAATTTCTAGGGAATGCTTCGATCTGACCCAACAACGGAGTGTTAGACGAAGCCATACATCTCTGGGAGGCTTTCGTAGGCAACACAACAGTTGAATGAGTATACTGAATTGACCTAATGTCAGGCATGAAGGTCACACCAAGGTCCAAACCAACCTGTTTTGTTACTTTAGGGCTTGCTGTATGGGATAGTTTCTGGTGCTCATTTTGAATTTATTGATGGCAGAAACCACATTATACATCATTCATGGACTTCTTAGAGGTCAAATTGGGTCATTGACTTAAAATGAGGCAGGGCAACATTTTGTGTTAGGAACATACTGCCTAGCGTAATCTTTGTCGCTTAGTCAAATGCAAAACTCAAAGCAATCTTGTATAATTTTGGTCACCTTGGCCTTCAAAAGGTTAAACAAGGTCACTGACCTTAAATGAGCATGTGACCTTTTGCTTAGAAACGGTTATCTAGGTTCTGGGGGGACTTTGAAGATCAACCTGGAATTTTACCTTGTTCAACCTTTTTTGACCCGAAGGTCATAACCTAGGAACCTGAAACTTCGACATAAACGAGTTTACATACGGGTCAACACACCCTATAAATTTGGTGCTTCTAGCTCTCTTAGTTCCCGAGATCTCAGGGGGAGGAGGTCAAATTGACCCCCTCCCCTCCAAGCGAAGGGTATGCAGCCAGACACCTGGGCGCGCGTTAAAGCCAGCCATTAATTCTTTTCACCCTAACGGCAAATATGTGAAAGTAATCCTGAGATTCGGTTTGGATTCACCTACATAGATGGGTTTCATGTCAGATCTGTGCTCTAAAGGGAATGTTTCACATTTGAGGATATTCAAGCAAGCTGTCAGAAATAATGAAACAACACTTACAACTACCGGTGTGCTTTTTAAGTACACTTATATATACTTTATATATACTTTTTAAGTATATTTTAAGTAAGTATACTGCTATAGACAGCACAGGTTTTTGTTCATTAAAAATGCTCCTCAGTGTGTCATAGCTTGGTTACGTCATCGTACCTTGTACAACATTAATTGAGAGCCCATTGACGACCGTTTTATCTGGAGATCGCGCTCACGAACGCCATACGTAAACGCCTAAACAATTACATATTTGTTGACCTTGATAGCCGCCTGACTTATGAAGTGGACAGACTTACGTGACGTTGGTATGACTTCATGAATAGCAAGGTGACTGACATACTCTCCCCGATAAACGTTCCCTATTTTCGCGCGCGTATAGCTCAGAAAAGGGGCTGAGTTCTTGAGAAGGGCAAGATTGTGAACAGCACGGAAAGGTCTTCAAGATGGCTATTTCAGTTTAAAACTCCATATATAATATTTTATGCAAATTTTGCATATATATATATATATATATATATATATATAGTGTGTATAGTATATAGTGTGTGTGTGTGTGTGTGTGTGTGTGTGTGTGTGTGTGTGTGTGTGTGTGTGTGTGTGTGTGTGTGTGTGTGTGTGTGTGTGTGTGTGTGTGTGTGTGTGTGTGTGTGTGTGTGTGTGTGTGTGTGTGTGTGTGTGTGTGTGTGTGTGTGTGTGTGTGTGTGTGTGTGTGTGTGTGTGTGTGTGTGTGTGTGTGTGTGTGTGTGTGTGTGTGTGTGTGTGTGTGTGTGTGTGTGTGTGTGTGTGTGTGTGTGTGTGTGTGTGTATCGATGTAAAACATTACCTTTCATCATCACTAAGGCAAGAAAGTTGTTGGAAATAGGCAAATGAAAGTATGCATGTTCACCCAACTATCATCTCTACCCCGATTTGCCTCTCTGGATGTGGGTGGTCGTTGATGTGGATCGACGGTGGGCTTCGACGTTGACAACATATCGCCATGTAAGGCATGTCGTAGACGCTGCAGTTTTCTGTCACCCGTCAGCAAATTGTTTTTGACCGATGTACATGCTACTTCCGCACCATAGCCCACGTGCAAAGTCAGACCATGGTCATGGTATCCTGCTCTTCCGACCTTTGTGTTGCCCACATTACCCAGCGATTTGCTAAGGCGGCGCTTCGCCGCAAATCAGCCTGGCATGTTAAGGAGTGAAGGTGTTATGATGTCATGTTAGAATGTGAAAAATTATCATAAGAGGGAGGACGGCCAGAAAGACCAGGCAGAAAGTGATTTATGTAAGACAGTGTCGAGTGCAAAATATCTGTGGTGTCCAGAAGTTGGCCAGTTTACTAGCATGACATTTTGTTGTTGATTTTCAACAAAATTTTGCAAACAAAATTTTGGTTCTCAAAATGATTCACAAAATAGTTATATGATTCCCTGGTAATGGGACAGTGAATAAGCAACCCGGTTTGCCCATAACTTTAACTCCTGTTTTCACTCTCGCAGCTCCTGATTAACATACGGCACATATTTAGCCGGTACCAACAACCAGAAAACGCAGATAATCGCCAAGAATGAAGCGAACTCCATGGATGTGTTCGGAGCGTCCATACGTCCAGCAGTACGCATAGACTTCAAATGCCTGCTCATCGCGCACATTTATTCAGACATGTCACGCGTGTTCGGTGCTGATGTGCGCGCGCGGCCTGCGTCAGACACGCTCGGTGTCATGCCGAAACTCGTTGGGGCCATTGCAGCCCCTCGCCGGCGGCAGCTACAAACGCTGTCTGGCGAGCCGGCGACTGGCCCGGCCGCCCGCCGACCGCTCAGAGCAACAGCCGCCTGCTCGGCTCATTGTAGTTGTATCCATCACAGTCCTCGACGTACTTGGTGGAGACAATCACGTTGTAGTTGGTCCGAGTGACCCTGACAGTGGAGACCTGCTGCTGCAACACAGTGGTAACCGACACTCTGGTGACGACCGGGCCGGGCAGTGTGACCGTGCGTACCACGCTCACGAGCTGCTGCACATTGCGAGTGCTGGCAGGCCGCGTGACGACGCGACTGACAACCTGCTCTTGATACTGGGTCGTCTGCACGGGGACGTTGACGGTCGTCTGCTGCACGCGCTGCGTGTAGCTCGTGCTGTACTGCACGTTGGTGGTCCGCACGGTCTGCAGCTGTACGCTCTGCACCGTCTGCAGCACCTGCGTGAACTGGGTGCGCGTGCTGTACTGCACCTGCGGCACGAACACGGTGGTGCGGACCACCTCCTGGCGCGGCACGGTGACGGTCTGCGTCACGCTGATGGTCCGGCCAGGCCGCTGCACGACGCGCGTGGTCTCCACCGTCTGAGGACAGGCGGCGGACGTCAGGCGCCCGACGGCGACGGAGTCGTGCACACACTCGACGGCATTCAGTCGGAGCCGACGACTGCATTGTCGCCAAGGCTGGATGTGCGCTCTGGCGCTGCTCAAGGCTTCGAGTTGTGCCGGCGACGTTTTCGACACGCACACACCGCGAACCGACAGCAAACCACGCGGCACGAATGGGCGGCGCGTTACAAAGTGACCACCGTGGTGAGACGTTGAACGTGACAGCTGAACTGTGCTCCGTCTGCAACGTAATCTGACTAGCAACGGCACAAGCACCAGCTGCTGCCGGCCTTACCTGCGTCTGCGTCCGGGTGACGAAGACGGTCTGGGCGGGCAGGACGCGCGTGCTATACACGGTGCTGGTGACGTACTCGGTCCGCACCACGGTCGGTCCAGGCACCGTCCGGGTCACTTCCTGCGTCTGCGTCAACGGCGGCAGTGCCGAGTATGTCACCCGCTGCGTGACTGTGCGATAACTTGTCTGGACGTCCGTGCTGTAGACGGTGCTGGTCTGGTACTCGGTTTGCACCACGGTGCGGAGCACGGTGCTTACCGCCGTGCTGGTCACCACCCGGGTTCTGAAGACGTCAGGCGCGCGCACGGTCTCCACTACCTGCTGCTGCTGCTGGTTGGTGCTCACCACGTTGATGACGGACGTGACCTGGACGAAGCTGGTTTGTACGACGGTGCGGGGGATTGTGACGGTGTTGGTTCTGGTAAGGAGTGCCGTGTATACACTCACGACCGGGTTGACCTGTGTAGTTGGCACCACCACCGTCGTTGTGAAAGGGCGGGTCACCGTCCGGTATAGGGTTTGCGCCGGCGGACAGACTCGTCCGCCGGTGCCGCCGGTGCCCGTGGGCGGCGGAATGTAGGAATCGGCGAGCTTCTGGCCGTGGGTGACGGACGCTATCCCGGCCAGCAGCAGCCAGCCCAGCATCCTGCAATGGGCGCGCCTAGTCAGCACAGTAGAAAGACAGCGGAGGCGCTGGGAGAAGACAGATCGGGATCCTCTTCGGAGTGGATGGTGGCACGCTTCTCGATTTTCTTGGTCCCACTTGTTGAATGGTCCAGTAATCTGGCATTTTCATTTCTAGAAGCTTCCAATGCTATCTGAAATCGAGCATGCACGGAGAAAGGAGAACATGGGGCCGAAACGGACACGCGTGAAAATATAAACATGAACGCCGAATGAAGATCGCTGTTGCCTTACCTGAGCTGGGAAGCGTTTGGTGTGGTCCGTCGTCGCTTGCACATCAGTAGTCTAAAGCGATAAAAACAACGGTTTTTTTACAGCCCCCGGCGTGTATTTTCAACATCTCTCACAGAACCAGGCATTACAGATAGTGCTCAGGCACCATCCTCAGCTCCCAGGATTTCTGCTCTATCTCTACCTCTCCCTCTCTCTCTCGCTCTCTCTCGCCTTCTCTCCGAGCTGCCTGTCGGCTCGGCCTGGTCGCTGCTCCGGACGTTTACAAGCCCAGCGGGTTGCCCTTGTCCTTGTAGTCGTACCCGTCACACGGCTTGGGCACCTCCACCACGCTCACAGACTGTTTCTGCACGACCACCGTGCTGGTGATGTAGTTGGTGTCGATCTGCAGTTTGGTCGAGTAGCTGGTGACGATCCGCTGAGGGCCGGGCACGTTCAGCACCGACGTGACCGTGCTGAATATGGTGCGCACCACGTCCGGCTGGAAGCTGGTGCGCACCGCCGTCCGCGTGGTGGTCACCACCACCGGCCGCGTCACGTAGCTGGTGCGCGTCTGGGTGACATAGTTGGTGATGACCTGCGTGCTGACCACGTTGACAGGCACGTAGACGGTGCTGGTTTGGTAGTTGGTGATGATCTGGCGGTCCGTCTGCGTCACGTCCACCACCACCCGGCTGACACGCGGCACGCTCACCGTGCTAGTGACGTAGTTGATCACAGGTTCCTGAACCGTCCTGGTGCGCTCCACGTTCGGACCGAAACGCTCAACAACGCGCTCATTGGTGACGTACTTTGTCTGGAAGACAGTGCTGACCACGTTCGGGCTGGGCACCGTGTTGACGACGGTGGAGCGGACCGTTCGGTAGACGGGCACGGTCACGGCGGGCCCAGGCACGGTCACCGTCCGGGTGACGAAGACGGTTCGCCGCGGCGGCGGCGGCGGCCGGGACGTCACCGTCTCCACCACCGTCACCACTCTCAGGGTCGGCTTCACCACGGTGGTGACGGCTGTCGTCCGTGACGTGCGCACCACCTGGGCAACGCTCTGTACGTAGGATGTGCGTTGCACGGTGTTCGTGACGGCCGGCAGCACCGCCGTGCTCGTCACGTACACCACCACGTTGCTGATCTGCGTACTCGGCACGCGCACGGACCGCGTGACGGTAACAACTCGCTGTACCTGTCTCACTGCGGTCGACAACACTTGCTGGGTACTCGTGACGGTCGAGACCACTAGCCGCGTGGCGTAGAGTGTGCTCGTTATCCTGTCGGTGTACGTCACCGTGCGCGTGGTAGTGATGATTTGGTCGGGCGGGCATCTGAGCGCGTTGGGGTTGTTGCCGGTGCCGAGGGTGGGCGTGAGGTACGTGCGCGGAACCTGCTGCGCACCGACGGTGGCCGCCAGCAGCAGCACGAGCAGCGGGCTGCACGCCCTGCAACACAGAGGGGGCACGCGGTGAGATGCGTGATTGGACTGCTAGGCCGAGAGACGGCGCGGGCGCAGCGCGGCGTGGCGACGGGTCTTAAAGTCCAATCACTGCAGCCTCACCGCGTGCCGCACTTTGCGCGCAGCCCCCACGCCCGCGCACGCACCCGTCCCATGCACGCGTTAATCGTGGACTTTAGGACCCGTCGCCGGGGCGACCGACCACGCCGCCGCCGCTCTGGGCTCGGACCTCTCAGGTCGGGGGCCGGGTATTGTCTCCGGCTGCTGGTGAAGGACTGCGGAGACCCGCCGCGTCAAAGCAGTCTTGCAAACACGGTTAATTAAAACGTGGCTTGTAGCTGTCGCTTCAGACCTGCCCGTCGTCTGTTGATGGTTCGATGACAGGGGTTTGTGTGGCGTTGCCGGTGGGAGCACAAACACAACCACTTTGATTAACGGTTTGGGTCAAAATATTGACCTGAGTAATCTTCTCTGGTCGATTGATGGTGAATGCAGTTCTGCTGGGTACCTGAGCTCAAAGCCAGCACCGTGCACGTCCGAGCACAGCTACAACAGCTCAAAGAAAACGTCTGATTGCAATTATAAAGTTAATGATTAAAGCATGTCGCTTCACTTGTTCCCGGTGCTCCTGGTGTTCCAGGCGGCACAGTGTATTTCTGTGTCCCCAACTAAGCAGATCTCATCGTCCTGTAGGTGCACCACCAATCAAATGTTTTATTCTCCCATTATGATAAAATTGGCTGCGGAAATCGAGCGTAGCAGCCGAGCCGGTCCTTTGCGGCGGAGTGAGGCTTAAGACATTTCCGATCGCAGCAATGTCACCGCCACTTGTCGTAAAGGCGCTCTCCTATGCCCCTGGGCAAAGTCAAGCTGAAACAGCGATACCTGAAAGCTTAAAATGCTTACGCCATGCATTTATGTCCATACTTTCCAAGCGGAAGGCCACTATGGTCTTAAAACCTTCATGGCGTGCCCAGGCAACCGACATGTGCGCGTTTTAGACGCAAAGCGCAATTTAACAGGCTAGCCCCTGGTTTGCTGTTCAATCATTCTCTGACTGTTGTATTGTTCCGTACAGCCTAGAAGCTTGCATGGAGCATGCGCAGGTTTCTGCACTTGCATGACGTCTTCCTTGCTGCACGCAGTTTTGAAGCATCTGTACCGTGCGTTATGAGGCGAGAAGCCGGGTTCTGATTGCAGTATGTTTGGGGTCACTGAAATATTTTACAGAAACGTAGCTGAAGACTTGCCTGCACAAAACAAATACGGCACCTTGTTTGTCAGTTCCCATTTGTTGGAAATGGCTAATAACACACTGTTTTGAGGAGGGAAATTATCATTTTGGAAACGTGGGAAAGCAGCCATATTTGTGACTCCTAGAGAATCGGAATATTTCCAATGTTGCTGGCCCAGAACGGCAGGTTATTCTGTTTCCATCATTACTTTTTAACCCTATGAAGTCATGGACGCCGAAGACTTGAACAGCTTTGTGCTCCGTATTTCGTTTAAACCCTAAGAGCCATATTTAAAATACCATTCACTGAATGTCTCCCTTTGCTGTCTTTTTCATTTGCTCTTGCGTGTGGCCAGTGTTAAGACCAAATCTTTGGATAAATCATATCGTAACGTGAAAAGAGAACTCCTACAAAACAAAGCATCACATAAAGATCAGGAGACCTGGCCACACATCTGTACATATTTAAGATAAAGACGCTGTGTCGGTGGGACGCTCAGGGTTACACAATGACGTACATTCCAGTGTTCTACAATTGGGGGCTTCGGAAATAAAACACCTTTCTGCAACCCAATTTTTAGAACCGGAGTACTTCTGGGAATGTATTTGCTATACATCTGTTAAGGCTGCCTCAGACATGGTTTCGAACGAATTGCCACGCGGCTGCTCATGTGAGATAAGCGCTAGAGAAGTGTAAAGATGTGAATGCCGCTCAGCCGCTTAAAATGCTTATGGAAAGGAGAATCGCAATTATCGGTCTGTTGGGAACGCACAACGCGTGTTGTTCCAGTCAAAATTTCGACTGCAATGTTGGAAGCACTGTACTCTGGCCCTCGAACACTGATACGAATCTGCCTGCAGGGAGTATCCCACCTTGTTTGTACGTTTCCCTTATTGTTATATCTTATTGTTATACTTATTTGTATCATTTCACATGGGGCGCGCACGATTTCATCAGTGATACCAGTTACCAGTCTCGATCAATACCAGTAAATATTTCGATAGATATCAGTCTCGAGGTTCTTCTGAATATCTCAGAATGTCGACTTGAAGCCGCCGACCCTACGGACTTACCTGACTATACGGACTTACCTGAAATCTTACCTGACTACCTGCTTACCACTAGCAAAGCACTACATTCAATTTACCCCGCCTTTTCCAACGTGTGTACTCTGTTGTGTTTGCGACACACTAATGTGTCATAGGCATGCGAACATGAAGCCATTTTCCAGCGACTTCAATGAAACATAATGCTAGTACTGAGACTTGCATTTCTCCCCTACGGCGTTCACCACATGACTCTCCCCGACGCGCACTTTGGCCTCAGGAATGGGGGTATCACATGATATGTATGACGCACTGTTGCAAGTCTCAACCAGTGCGCTTCCTGGTAACAAGCTCTTGCCCGCTGGGCAGATCACAAAAGTTCTTGTATTCGCATTAGTAGTGATGCGCGCTGTGATTATCATGACGACGGTGATGCGACTGCAGGGGAAAAGCGTAGTGCTGTCACAAACCATTGACAGCGTAGTTTGAACTAGAATCCAGCTAAAATGTATATCCTTATTTCTCATTAATTGTGATGTAATGGCACTACCCAGTGCTATCACCAAACGAACTAGTCCTGAAGTTTCGCTTGAGCATGGCAGTTCACCGGACTTTGAAGATGCCCCCAAGGAGAGAAGCTCCCTTTAAGACATTGTCGACTATATCAGTTAGGTACGTGCTGGTGAACTGGGCGTGCTACTCTGGCCAAAAATGCTCCGACTTAAGTGTTTGAAATTTTAAGTTATCAAATTTGCGCCGGGTTTCAACAATAGCGGCTGATAACGACCACTTCCGGGGTTGATAAGAGGCCTCAAACACATCTTAAGGTCATGACGATCCTGGCTAATTTCTGGCAGTGTGCGGCCAACCAAGCTGGTTCCATTTAACAACCAGCCCTTTGTTTGCGCGGCGGAGACACAGTCGACTCATCCAGCCACCTTAACCTCACCTGATTGAGACGCCCATGGTGATCTGGAGCCGCAGACAACCGCAGTGGTCACGGCTGGAGCCTGTGGTCGGCTTATATACCTGCCCGGCCGGCTCGGCCGACCAAGCTCGCCCCACTCGTCTGGCGCGCACGGCATCCTTGGCCGCGAACGGTCCACCGGTCTTAATCCCACCGCTCCAAAGATGATCAGGCTGTGTGAATTTACTGCGAGTTTAAAGCAGCCCGGCATCACTGGGCTGAACGCCGGATCGACACGGGAAATCGACAATATGCACCTGTGCAGCTGCAGAAGTGTCTTGGCTCATCTCGTCAGCATGTGACCCCTAAACGGTCATGTTCTTTCCTTTGCTGTGCTCTTTGCAACTATATCTGAACATGGAGCTCCAGCCATTTAAGCCATGCCTATTTTCGGGTGCGATGAATGGTGCAGTGCGGAAACAGAAGCTTAGAGACTGCTGCGTCCTTTCCACACATTTTGTTGTCAATGTTTTTGCTCTATCCCTCGTTCATCTTTTCTTTTTCATCGCATGCTTTCTCCGGCACATATTTCTTCCGTCTCCGCCTGGTAGTGACCCCAGGCCTGATTATTCTGTGCCTTCTGTGACAGTTGTGACATGTAAATATTTATACTACATGTCTGTCTTTCTATTCAGCACTCAACAACCGCGAGATTACGTCAATATCGTTTGAAATCATAAAAACGCTTCTGTTTCAAGACACTGGGGTCGGTGTAGGGACGTTTCCGTCGTGATGGACTCCTGTTTTGCACGCACTTTCAGTTCCACGCATGCTAGGTTCTCTGACGTGATGGATCCTTGCATGGATGGTCCATACTCCCTCATTGGGTGTTCGTTCCGATATTTGAGTTGTGTCCAGACGTTAAAAACAGCAGCTGACTGATCTGCAATTGCTTTTGTAGACAAGTTCGACTCGTGTAGAATATTAAGTAGTATCATTCGGTAACATTTCAGCATCGTTTCCCTTCATGCCTTTTTGCTGGTTTCTCTGCATTGCGGCCAAAACTATGTAGAGGTTTTTTAAAATCCCTCCCAGGTGTTGCTCCGTTTTCGTTGCTGCTGTTGCACTTCACTTTTCCCTGATGCGATAAGCCATAAACATTTCCCTGAATGTCAACTCCTCGATTATTGAGACGTTAGGATCTCTGATGGTGATGCGTTTGTTATGCAGACAAATTGAGTTTCAAAAACCTAATGCAAATCTGGTGTAATGAAAAGGGTAATGTGATACCAGTTTCTTGCTTTTGGAGATGCTGTTGGGAGCAATGAGGTGTTGGCTGATCTGATAGTACCCAGTATGAGCTTGGCGGACTCGTCTGCTAGGCTGTTTGTGAGTCGTTTATCCGTCTGAGATCGTCGCGGTTGAAGTATTTCTGTACGGTTCCACTTAATATAAGCAAGAAGAGCCTTAGACTGCTTGGTTCTCCGCGTTGTGCATCGAGATCTTTTATGCTAACATTAATCAGCCTCCAAGTAACCAGGAGGTACTGGTTAGACGAATTCACCGAGCAAGCATTGGCTTCATCGAAAAAGCTAGCAGCTTCAAGCCGGCCTTAAAGTCATTGGTGACCATGAGGTCACGAGGCACGATCAGTTAGTAATACTCAGTTTGCGAATAACTATTACCCCGTCTTGAAGCGCCCAGCTTTGTCAGTAAAGCCATTACTTGCATGTTAGCGTATTGTAACCAGGACCTCCTGGTGTATTGAAGGTCATTGCCAGAATAAGACCTTTGAGCCCACAATATCTCTGCGATGTTATTATGCGTCACGGCTGTCTGCTTGATTCCCTGTGTGTGAGACACTCTGCTAGAGTACTTTTAGTGCAATCGACCACTAAGTCAGAGTGGGCATGGTGCGATCAGATCAGTGCAAATCAGGAAAACCCCACACGATCACTTTGGATCCGGGTTTAGCAGCGAAGACAAGTCCCAATCTCGTGTTTTAATCTCTTGCCGAAACTCCTCTGAAGCCGGTGCTAGTCAGCTCTGGATCCGTCTCGGCTGGTGTTGCCCGCGGGCGACGGCAGCCGGCACGTCTCGGCTAGCGTTCCCCTGGCGACGGCAGCCGGCACGTCTCGGCTAGCGTTCCCCTGGCGACGGCAGCCGGCACGTCTCGGCTAGCGTTCCCCTGGCGACGGCAGCCGGCACGTCTCGGCTAGCGTTCCCCTGGCGACGGCAGCCGGCACGTCTCGGCTAGCGTTCCCCTGGCGACGGTAGCCGGCACGTCTCGGCTAGCGTTCCCCTGGCGACGGCAGCCGGCACGTCTCGGCTAGTGTTCCCCTGGCGACGGCAGCCGGCACGTCTCGGCTAGCGTTCCCCTGGCGACGGTAGCCGGCACGTCTCGGCTAGAGTTCCCCTGGCGACGGCAGCCGGCACGTCTCGGCTAGCGTTCCCCTGGCGACGGTAGCCGGCACGTCTCGGCTAGCGTTCCCCTGGCGACGGCAGCCGGCACGTCTCGGCTAGCGTTCCCCTGGCGACGGTAGCCGGCACGTCTCGGCTAGCGTTCCCCTGGCGACGGCAGCCGGCACGTCTCGGCTAGCGTTCCCCTGGCGACGGCAGCCGGCACGTCTCGGCTAGCGTTCCCCTGGCGACGGTAGCCGGCACGTCTCGGCTAGCGTTCCCCTGGCGACGGCAGCCGGCACGTCTCGGCTAGCGTTCCCCTGGCGACGGCAGCCGGCACGTCTCGGCTAGCGTTCCCCTGGCGACGGCAGCCGGCACGTCTCGGCTAGCGTTCCCCTGGCGACGGCAGCCGGCACGTCTCGGCTAGCGTTCCCCTGGCGACGGCAGCCGGCACGTCTCTGCTAGTGTTGCCCGGACGACGGCAGCCGGCACGTCTCGGCTAGTGTTGCCCGGACGACGGCAGCCGGCACGTCTCGGCTAGTGTTGCCCGGACGACGGCAGCCGGCACGTCTCGGCTGGTGTTGCCCGGACGACGGCAGCCGGCACGTCTCGGCTAGCGTTCCCCTGGCGACGGCAGCCGTCACGTCGCCGCCCGTCATCAGCTGGGATGCCCCAGCCAGTCGCTGGTTCGGCACGGCCGACCTGAGCAGGGAGAGGCCCGACGCCGACCCGGACATGGACGGGTGGCACGGACGGCCCACATGGCCGATTCCAGACACGGGAAGTACGACCGACCGCTGATACTGTTCGCCGAGAAGCTACTCTGGCCAGCTCCGGCCATCGCCAGCAAGGCGACTGAGAAAGAGGGTAACGAGTGTGCTAACACAGCAGCACACCAGAGAGCCTGGCTTCACCTCACCTCGGACCCCGAGCCCACGGTTTTACCCACAGGAGGGTATCCCACTTTACTGTAGGCGAGCGCTGGAGGGGACTCGGGCAGGCCTGGGCACTGCACCAGCGTAAAACCGTTCTCTGCAGCAGCGACCGCAGCTAAACACAAATAGTAGTGGGACGAGCCGCGCGAAGGAACAGGAGTTTGAGCGCAGAGAGGAGGTGGTGCACAAGTGACAGAAAAGCAAGGTGGCCATCTATGATCAGCAGCATTCTTCATAAATCAAGTATTCTGTAATCTGTCCAAATTCATGCTATACTCTCCAATCCCATCGTCGTACAGCCTGACTTTGGTGTAATTCCAACGCAACACAAATATGTTCAATGCAGTACCGTGTCGATCTGTGGTACTGACGCCCAATGATGCACAAGTTGGTAAATGCTCCATACGGACTAAATGGTTGTTTGGGTCTCGAAATGTTGGCCTTCCATGAATTTAGATTGGTCCAGGGTAACCAATTTTTGTATCTAATCAAAGCGCTTGAACAGTTGTTTTGCGCGATGCTCGATTGATCGAATCCTTTAAAGGTGCAGTAAGCTGTTCTGTACGCTGGGCCCTAGTGGAACCAACACGGAAGACTTCAACGGATTCTCCTCTATAACGGAGGGACCGGCCTGCTTTGCACTCACCATATTCGAGCAGGCGGCTGAAGGCTTCGAGAAGCACTGCGCCGTTGTAATATCACGGCGCGCCGTATGTTATGACGGTTAACTGCAAAACATTTGCAAAGGAACCTAAGACTTCGTCCGCCCTGCAGTATGAGACAGAAAAATATCGTGGGGGAAATCAGTCGGAATATTTGGTGCCATGACTGATGTATTTCGCTGAAGATGTGGCTTCACGCAACTTCCTATCGTTTGCAGCACATCGCTGCAACGAGCCAACATCTGTCACACCAAGGTTTTAGTTACGTTCCAGGCCAGCCTTGGTGTCTGGAATTAAAACCACCTCTTCTTCTTTTCTGGGAATCAGATAGGGCGCACTTATCGCGACCTGGCCCCGGTACCGTCGTCTCTTACGAGCTCGCCCGTGGTGGCCACATACACCGCACATATTACGTGCTGCGTGACCTGTCAATCTGCCAAGGGCGCCACTCCATAGGACGGTCGTGATCAGGACTTGCAACTCTGCTGGCTTGATACAATGATGATGCATGAAGCTGCTGTCGACTCGCGACGGAGAAGATTTATTCGCTGACGTCGGCTGGCCTCGATGTTATCCGTCATCTTCCCGTGATTTGACTGTCGTGGCCTGTACATTTAGGCGATACCTGATTTGATTCTGAATTTGAGTAAAATTTTTTAGAACTCTGATTAAAAGGCCTTAGGAGAATACTCTCAGAGCAGTGCTCATATTCACGAGTTCATGAACGTGAGCCAGTACGCTCGTCACTACTAGCGTCACTACATCACTACTAGCGTCCTGAAACATCGAGTCATCCGATTGTATATTGTAATAAATGCTTTGCATTTCACTCTTCGTTCAACCAGCACCTCCTATCTTAGTGAAGATCGGCTGCTTTCCAGCACAAGAAGTGGTAATGGGCCCTGGTATCCCGGTGTCCTCTCTTTTGGTCGTTTCGCCCGCGCCCCGTGCATCGGTCGGCCGGTCCAGACGTCTCACGCATGACTTTGTTGGTTCGGGTCGCTCTGTATGGTGTCAGCTGGTGCTGGTACTCATGACTTTGTTGGTTCAGGTCGCTCTGTATGGTGTCAGCTGGTGCTGGTACTCATGAC